GTAGAACTGACAGACATTTTCAACAGATGGTTGACTTCTTTAAAAGCCCCACTTGTACCCCAAACCACCATATTTCATAATCATATGAATCCAAAATTCATTCTTTCTATAACTGAGCCATCAGAATACATATCACACTCTCTCATAAAATGCATCATTTCCTCAATTTTTATAGATAAAAAGAAACTAGGCTTAAAGAGTCCAAGTGACATGCCCATAATGAAAAAGCTGCTCAGTCGCTGAGCCGGAGGAGGCGTGGACACTGCATGTCCCTGCTTGTCCTCGGCCAGGGCACTGTCATTCACCAGCAGCCGTGGGTGTGAGCAGGGGGAGGTCGTGTCTGGGTCATGGGCCTCTCCTACGGCAACAGGCATCAGAGGAAACCACGTGTGAACCCTGACATCAACCTTATTAGGGGAGCTTGCAACCACCAGGGGAAGCTGGCCTGTGAATGCCGGCAGAGTAAGGTGGTGGAGGGGCACGCGAGGAGAGCTCAGAGACACAGATGGCACACAGACGACTCACCCAAGAAGGAGAATGTCCACACTGAGTGCTGAAGACCGGACACTGCCGTCCAGCAGAAGGTGGACAGTGGGGCACAACAGTGAGTTGGGGCAGGCAAATCTTGGAGTCCAGCGAGTGAGGCAGGTGCCTGTGAGCGCAGTGAGATGGAGAGAGGTAAAGGTAGGTGTGGGCACAATGAGTGAGTGTGTGAGGAATGAGCAGCATGCTGACCGGGCTGAGTCAGCGCTCCTGGACGAGACAGCACCCCTGGAGCCACCGCGGGAAAGCTGCACACGGACAAGAACTGGTACAGCTATTACGTCCAGGACACTGCCATGGTCTTCAAATGTCCCCACAGATGGTGCGTGAGCTGCAGGGGACACACGGCAGCTGAACGGTGACACCTGATGGCCCCTTGTCACAGATGGAAACATGCTGCTGTGAAGGGCAGAAGGCACCAGGTGCTTCTGGGCATGCCAGCCCGGAGGACAGCTTGCCACTGTAGTAGTGTGGGGTCAGTGGATGCGTCAGCTTGACAGGGCTGAAAGAGCCGGCACCCGTGAGGGCATCTGAGAGAGGTGAGCATGTGAGTCGGGGGGCTGAGCACAGAAATCCCTTCCGCCCCTGTGGGGGTGGGCATCATCTAATCTGCTGGGGCCCGAATGGAGCAAAAAAGGTGCAGGAAGGTGAACTCACTCTGCCTGAGCTGAGACAGCCTTCTTCTGCCCTTGGATATTGGTGCTCCTGCTCCTTAGGCTTTCAAGAGTCAGACCGAATTCCACCACTGGTTCTCCTGGACCTCCAGCTGTAGACACAGATGGTGGGACTTCCCAGCCTCCATAACCACATCCGCTATTCCTGTAATAAGTCTGCTCATACTGATCTATCTGTCTACGTGTCTACCCATCCATCCATCCATCCTCCATCCATCCATCCAACCATCCATCCTCCATCCATCCATCCATCCATCATCCATCTATCTATATATCTATCTATCCATGTATCTATCTATCATCTATCTCCTATTGGTTCTTTGTCTCTGAAAAACCCTAGCTAATGCAAATAGTAATACAACCAGGGATGCATACCTTGAATTTAATCATAAGGAAACATCACCAAACCCAAATTAAGAAATGCTCCCTAAAATAACCTGCCTCTGTCCTTCAAAACTAACAACATAATTAAAGACAAAGAAGGGTGGGGAACGGTCCCAGATTTGAGAACAGCCAAGAGACATAACAACTAAATGTGATACATGATCCCAACCTGGATCTTGGACTGAGGGGAGCCTCTAGAGCTCATTATTGGGATAACTAGTGAGGTCAGAATATGGATTATACCTTACAGTTTTGTATCAAAGGTGAATTCCCTTTATTTGATAACTAGACTATGGTAACATAAGATGATACCTTGTTCCTTGTTCTTAGGAAACATAAACCAAGGTGTTAAGGGATGTAGAAGCATGATTTGTCAGACATATGAAGTGTCATCGTGTGGTTCTGAAAATAAATTGTATTTACCTGTTCACAAAACCAGCGCCCCAGCCATCCACCTCTGTACTTCTCACAGCTGTTATGGTGGCACAGGATTCAGAGGGAGTCAGTAAGATTCCCAGAGCCCAGTGGCTTTATCTAAACGAGCAAAGAGCTCTCCTCACCCCCCGTCTCCTGATCCTAGGCCAGCGTGTTTGCTCCCAACTCGGGTGTGGATTCTAGAAAGGCAGACAACAGTTCTTCAGACAGTTAATGGATTTCCAGACAGTTAACAGGTGATGCACGTATCTTCCCCGGGTACTTAGCTCTTCACATTCCGCCTCCCAGGGAGTTAACTGGTAATCCTACTGGGATTATCTAGATTGTGTGATATTTGCATAAATACAGAAGGAAGGTGAAGGCGTGTGATAAAAAATTTTAAATGACCCCCAGCACCCAGACCTTGGATTCTGCATCTCCTTCTCCAGGATGGGGAACCAGGGGCCTTGGAGAAATGGCTGAGTCCCGGGCTGGGGCAAGGAAGGTGCAAGGTGAGCCCAGAGGGTCCGCTAGATCCAGGAAGTCAGGAAGCACTCAAAACAGCAAATGACAAAGGATCTGGGGGCCAACCCGAAGCAGCTCCCGGGGTCCAAAGCTGGAACAGCCTGAGCAACAAGATAAATAGCATAGTATTGGATTATAACCCAGAGTATGAAATAAGTCTCATGAGTTCACCTGGATATACATACATGATTGAATAGAGAAATAAAAGGGAAAGAAGAGACACATCCTCCTCACAGAAGAATCCTAAGTAACTTATACAGACGCTCTCCCCCACAAGAGGAGCTCCATTCCCCAGACCCCCTTCCTTGAGCGTGGCCTGGTCCAAATGACTTGGAGCATGAAAGGGGGAATCAGAAAGGCTACAGGGAGAAGCCAGCCAGCACCATCTCAATGCGTGACGAGGGTTGGCATCACCCTGATGTGTGAGTGTCAGGCACCTCTCCACTGGGGTCTTCCCAAAGCCTGTCACCCAAGACTATGATGAGAACATGTCAGACAAATCCAGACTGGAGAAAATCCCCAAAACCATCAAGTCTTGCAAAACAAGGGAAGACAGGAACTGTCGCAGACCAGACTGGGGAGAAGTGACAGCGAACCGCAAGGTGGCATCCAGAGAGGGCGCAGATGGCAAAGCCAGGGGAATCCAAAAGCTGTCTGCAGTTATTATGGGTGGACCAATGTCGGCTCCTTCGTTTTGGCAAATGCACCATGGAAACATAAAATGTTAACCACGGGAAGAACTATGGGAAGGGCACCCAGAACCCTGCAGTCTTTGCAACTGTTGTATAGACCTAAGCTTGTTCCAAAAACACAAGCTTGGGGCACCAGGTGGCTCAGTCATTGAGCGTCTGCCTTTGGCTCAGGTCATGATCCCAGGGTCCTGGGATCGAGCCCTGCATCGGGCTCCCTGCTCCACGGGAAGCCTGCTTCTCCCTCTCCAACTCCCCCTGCTTGTGTTCCCTCTCTCGCTGTGTCTCTCTCTGTCAAATAGATAAATAAAATCTTAAAAAAAATAAAAGCTTGCTTTTAAAAGATATAAGTCAAAACCATGGAGTCTGTAAAGAGATAAAAATGAGTACTTGCCAGGGGAATGGGGGGAGGGGGAGCCGGTGCAGGGCTGTTGGGGGGGGGGAGCGGGCGCAGGGCTGTAGGAGGAGGGAGGGGGAGCGGGCGAAGCACAGAGGGTTCAGGGCAGTGAGACCACTCTGGGGGACCCTGTCAGGGTGGGGACGTGTCACCACACATTTGTGCAAACCCACAGAGCGTGCACCACCAACAGTGACTTTGATGTAGACTGTGGACTCTGGGAGATGATGACATGTCCACACGGGCTCATCAGTGGTGACAAATGCACCATCCAAGGGGGAGATGCTGGTAGTGGGGGAGGGAGGCACGTGGGAAACCTCTGCACCTTCTCGGTTTTGCTGTGAAATGAAAACTGCTCTAAAAATATAAAGTCCACCCCCCCAAAAAATGACATGGCTTTAAGAAATTCCTTCTTTTCCATGAACTATAATTTCTAAACAAAAATGACTATTTAAACTAGAAAATAAGCAAGTCCTGTTTCATTAAATAAAGGCCAAATTAAGGAAAATCCGTGTGTATCTCCCCTTGCCAAACACTGCTCCGCTCTGCAGTAACGACAAAGGCAGCTAAAGTTCACCTGCACAACAGAGAAGGTAAAAATACTTTTTTAAAAATTCTTGCTGATACTCACTTTACCTACTATAAAAACCTGCTCAGCTGGCTAGCATTATTAGGGACATATTTAAATTTCAGGGTTTTGTTTACGACCTTAGGAAAATATAACAATCTCATCGAGTTTGGATTGGCCTTAATGACAGAGACATAAAAATGTTCTGAACTACCAAAGCTTTTTCTGATAAAAGCAATATGTTTAATATAAAACTAAAATATTGAGGTAGGAATGTGGTGTCGAAGGAATTTCAGCCTCTTCCCAAAAAAGGAGGAAAGAGTTCAAAGAAAGGCTATGTTCAGCCATACATTTTGTTTAACTTCACCGAAAGACCCAGAGTCAGCCAATTTCCCTGTGCTTCCACGGCTACTGCTCTGATCATTTCAAGTGATGCCTCTCTTCTTTCTGACACCCCTAACTAGTTAATTAGCACACTAAAAAGGACCATGGCCATCCACACATCCTGATTTCCCCTACGGAGACTTTTAGATCCGTGCTCTGAACATCTCTAAGCCGGCAGGAGATGCACACCTTCTCAGGAACGATGGTCGTGTGGGCCGCTATCCCGGCCAGCCTCGGGGCCGCCACCAAGCCCAGCCGGGTAAATACCGTGAGTGTGATCTGCACCCCACCGCCCTTCCTGGTCTCTGGATTGCACGTTCGCGTGCCCCTGGCTGTGCCACCACACGACAATCCGTAATTGAGCCCGGAAAAGAAGCAGATGGGGTCGGATACAGCTTGATACAGGAGAACCACACAAGTTGCCTTTATGAAGTTTTATTCATCTACAGCGACAGAAAACCTCAGTGCAACCAGGTACCACACGCGTGCAAGGCTCTACAGCCAGGATTCCAGAGCTGCTCAGCTGTCTGCCCCACAGACCACAACCACCAGCATGCCTGGGGCTTTGCGTCCCAGGCCAGCATCCATGGAAATCTGAGAAGGCACCTTGCAACCACCCCCCTCTGCGGGCATCCACAGACGTTGTTTTACCCTGATGCAAACAAGCTGAGCTTCCACCCTTAGAGGGACAATAAAAGAATAACAACCAAGTACCAAAACTAAAAGCATTAACGCATGCTGGGCCGTCGGCGCACGTGACCTCACTCACGGTCCGCCGTCTGAACGAGCACACAGCACTCAGGTGGCCTTTCCGCCCGGCAGCAGCTCCTTCACTGGGCCAGCACAGAGGCCGAGGCCGGAATGAGCTTCGGCTTCGCCTGCTGGGGCGGCGAGATGTCTGGGATCTTTTCCCCGTGTTTGTACACACTGATGGTGATGTCGATCTTCTCGCCTCCGTACTTGTTCTTGACGTGGATGCTGTACTTGCCCGAATCCTCAGAGGTCACGCCCTTGATGGTCATGCTGACGTACTTGCCCTGCTCCACCTTGACTAAGAAGTGCTCACTGAGCTCGATGTCCTTGTCATTCTTGAACCACACCACTTCGGGGTCAGGGTTTCCAAATACCGTGCAGGTCAGGTTCAAGGTCTTTCGGGGGAGGGGGGTGAGCAGAGAAGGAAGGGTGAGAAACACAGAAGTCATACTGCCTCTCCCAAGGGGATGGGTCAGCGAAGTGTCTATCCACCCTGCGTACAGCTCGGTTAGTCAACAGGCTCTTTCTATGCGTAAGCACCAAGCTAGACATGAGGGATCCAAAGACAGCAGGATGCAAACAAGTTCGCAGCCTCATGGGCAGCTCGTGAGAAAAATCAATTATATTTTTTTTCTATTTATTCTCAGTCTTAATCCATGGCCGACTTCAATTAAAGAATGTAGAGGGAATTAAACTCTACATTTTACAGGAGATGTATTTAGCCTGTTTCCAAATTTCCTTTCTATTTGAACTCACAGATCCATTTTGCCAGTTCCTCTGGCAAATCAAAAGAACATATTGTCTTAAAAGTGGTAAATCAGATGGAGCAAACGCACTGTGACGCCCAGGACCGGGTGCCCAGCCCACGGGACTGTGGAGCTGTTGCTCACACCTCGGTCCATCCTTGTTGTGAGACCCACGATGACTCCAGCTCAGGAACTCTCTAGGCTTTCCTTAGTTGCTAAAGAAAAGGCCTATACATTTTAGTATTTTGGCCTAATGCCATTCTCTCAAGTGTCTATGAACCCTGGACATTGAGTGCAAACAGCTGAAGATCACTAGAGGTACCAACTAGATGTCAGTGACCCCCTGACCGGCCACAAACTAAGCCTCCACTTAGCGGTTTCCATTATAAATTCCAAAGTGACCCTGACAACTGAGCAGAGATGTTTTTCATTTCTCACTTGACATGGGTGGTTTCCGCCTTCCTACAGGGTGTGGCCAGCCTGCTCCCTGTGCAGTTACTGCTGCCAAGGGCCCACGACTGGGTGGACGCCCAGAACTGGTGGACGCCCAGGGCCGGTGGATGCCCAGGGCCGGTGGACACCCAGGGCCTGGAACCCACAGCTGCCACACACCTGCTCTGTGATGCCTGAGTCATGCACCTTGTCCCTGTGCTCCTAAAGCTGCTGTTTGTGGGTCCAGAAGAGTAAACTCTTCCATCCTTTGATAACATAAGGGTTACCAGAAGCAGCCTAAGACAAGCATCATGGTGGATGGGGAGCAACCTGTCCTCTGGGGGCTGAGCAACATGCACTCTCCTCCCCAGGCTAGGTACTATGACGGGGGCCTGCACTGCACTGCCGAAACCCCGTGCCGTCCTAACTCCGTGTCCTGCTGTGCGCTCTTACCTTGCCCTCCATTATGGTCACCACGTCAGGTAAGCCACCAATCACCTTGCCACGATCTGTAACATGAAGGCAACTCAGTTCAGAAAACTACCAGTGGGGACATTTCCACAAAGCAGGCCCCGAGCTGAGTACACGTGGATACAAGCCGACACAGGGAGGGGCTCCTACTACTGTGTATATAAAGTGGGAGGCTCAGGAGGAGTCTCAGGTCCTGTGCAGGGGACAGCTGTGAACGCCCTCCAGGGAAGGAGGGACGTGAGCTCACCAAAGTCTCCATGCAGGGAACCCAATACAGCTAAATGCATCTTGGAAGGGAGAGGGGTCTTGTGCGTCTGGAGAGCAGAGCTTTCTAAGGGCATTGGACCCTACAGGAGTCTAGTTTCTGTATGTTATGCTGTGACATCCTAGAAACCTTCCTGGCTAAGGAGATGGCCCCCCCCTGGGGTAGCCAATTCTCAGAGAGAGCAAAGGGCCCAGCCTGTGATAGGCCAACCAACCTACCCAGAGCAAGGATGCCTCCACCAATCCTTCACCCAGGAGGCAACGCCCCTCCAAGCGGCCTCGCCCAGCTGCCCCTGCACCTGGGAGAAATGTTCCTCTACTTGATCATCCCAGGGCCTGGTGCCAGGCAACTGCAGGCCACCCCTACTGAACAAAGCCCAGTGAAATAATTCAAACGAGCCAGTCCTAGATCATTTACCATGCCCCGCCTGCCTGTCCCAAGGAAACCCCGGCAAAGGCCATGGTCTAAGCACAGCCTTCACTCCTGCCTCTACCTCCTGACCCAGTGCTTCCCCAGGTGGCTCTGGGCGGCCTGCCTCCCTTCGCTGGGACCTGTGGGACTGACAGGCTGATTTCCTGCACCTCCGCTCTGTGTCCTCTACCTATGGCCGCACCTGCCTGAGCATCTCATAAAAGAACACGGAGCGAGAGGGCGGAGGGTAGGAGAAAGGAGACCCCGGACATAACACGGAGCCAAAGTGGAAGGCCGGCCGGGCGGGCGGCGCAGGGTGCGTTGTTGGCAGGACTGGGAATGTGGGTGTGGGAGTCATGGAAGCTTCTCCAATCCGGGCGAGCAGGTTTGCAATTTACCATTTAACACACAACATTAAAACCCTGAAGTGTGGGCCCTTTGGTCCCACGCAAAATAATAAGTGGTGCTCGTTACAATGTAACATGTACTTACTCTTCTCTGCAAAAGCAGCGGCCCTAAAAATCAACGGGAGCAGAGAGAATAAAAAGACAGTCATGAGAAAACGGGACCACAACAAGCATCACACATTCTGGAGCTTTGCTGGACACGAAAGCGAAAGGAAGGAGGAAGGAGTGTTCTCACAAGAACGTCCCCCTGCCGCTGCTGCGGGCGGTGGCGGGTTGCCCCGTCTCTCGGCGGGTGAAGCCAGCGAAAAAGCTTGGGGTTCGAGCGTGAGGTTGGAGAGATTTCTTTTTTCACCAAATTCACCAGATTGCACTGGAGATTTCTAGATATTTTTTGAAAACGCTGGTTTCTGACTTATCTTAGCCGTCTGTTCATCCATTCCACACACGTTTCCTGAATAACCTAATATGGCCAGTGACCGCTCTCCTTTTTGGATACTCCAAAATTCAGAACCACGTTTAGAAATCTCAAGGGATTCCTTCAAAAGTTGCTCGGAACAATGGGGTATTATTCAGCACTAAAAATAAATGAGCTTCAAGCCACACAAAGGCAGGGAGGAACCCTAAATGCAGATCAGTACACGAAAGACACCTGTCGGAAAGTCTACACGCTGCACGACTGCAAGTCCAGGACGTGCTGGGGAAAGCCAAACCACAGAGACAGGGAAAGGACCAGGATCAGTGGTTGACAGAGGACGGGGGATGGAGGTGTGAACAGGGAGCACAGAGGGTTTTAGGGCAGTGAATATGCTTTGTGTGATCCTACAGTGGTGGACACGCATCATCATACACTTGTCCAAACCCACAGAATGGGCGACACCCGGAGGGAACTCTGAGGTCGCCCGCAGACTGTGGGTGAGGACGTGTCCCTGTGGGTTCATCGCTGGTGACAAATGCACCATCTGGTGGGGGTGCTGGGGTCGGGCCGTGCATGGGGTGGGCAGGGTGTACATGGGAAATCTCTGCACCTTTGTCTCAATTTTGCTATGATAAAATTGCTCGAAAAAAATTAAGTCTTTAAAAAGAACCCAAAAATATAACCTTAAAAAAATCGTTCTGTATATTGTACTGCCATAATTATAACTATTTCAGAAACCTGTCATTTTCATCATTTAAAGCAACCCAGGGTTATGATGACTCTAGACAGTTAATTTATAAAAACATGTACAGTTTAGAAGGATGCCTGCCCTCTGCACACTGAACTGCATAAATTGTCATTTTTATGTGGGCACCAGGGGCCCCCATGTTCCCACGCTCCGCCCAGCGCCCCCCCCCCGCCGCCGGGGACAGACCATCATGCAGACGTGCAAACCCGTGCGGACATGCAAATCTTACTTGAGCTGCTGGAATTCTGCCAAGGCCTCATCAAACGCTGTAAGGAAATGTTTCATACGGTTTAATGGTTTCGGTGTGTTTGGCTTTTCCCTCACTCACTCAGGTGCTTTACCCGTGAACTGGCTTAATGAAAACGGACAAACAGCCAAAGGAATAAACTGATTATCCAGAAATAATTTTCTCTGAATGAAAATCATAAAATCAGAGCATTTCCTGGTCTAGCACTGTCACTGGATCACTGAACACAGAATCAGGAGAAGCTAAAGAATAATTATCTTACCCTGACCAGACAGGTCGAGTGAGCGCTGATGGTTGTCTTTGCCATCATAAATCTCGAAGGTGTATTTTCCTTTGTCCTTCTCTGTGGGCTCACAGATCTGCAGCCAGGCCATCTCTTCACTGCCTCCAATCCTCATATGCTCACTAGATGCAATCCTGGCATCTCTTTAAAAAAAAAAAGTTAACAGAAACTCATCTCAATTTAGAACCTCATACTATACACAAGATGGCCATGGGGCAACAGACACGTGTTTGGGTGGGAAGACCCGTCGGGCTCACTCGTGCTCATGTCACAATAGATCTTTCTGGATATTATAAATTCATTAACTACATCAGTAGCTCAGATCTGAAAACCTGGTAAAATTGAACCTGATACCTAGTTTTTAAAGATACGTTGTTATTAATATATGCTTGTTGGCTACAACATAATAGACTCAAAAATGCTCTATATAGCATGGCATTTTTTTTTCTCAAAAATCTTTTTCTAATGACCGTATGATCCAGCAACTGGTGGATATAAAACCCAAAGAACTGAAAGCAGGGATGCAAGTATCCGCACCCATGTTCACAGCAGCATGATTCACAGAGCCTAAAGGTGACAGTACCCCAAGCGTCCATCACTGGATGAATGAAGAATGTGTCAGGTACACCTACAGTGCAACAGTGTTCGGCCCAAGAAAGGGAGGGAGTTTCGACACCTGCTACAATATGGATGGACTTGGGTGACATCACATTCTACTGCGTGAGAGAAGTCACTCACAAAAACACAAGGACTAACGATTCTACAGGGAGGCTTCTGGAGTAGTCAAGTTCATGGAGACGGAGAGTGGGACGGTGCCGGCCAGGGGCTGGGAAGAGGGGGGTGGGGAGTTAGTGTATCCCGGGGATGCCAGCGCTCAGACTACTCATTCCCATGCACAAATAGGAAATTCAGCTGTACATAGTGATTCTCAGTTCTGCAGAGAGAAACACTCTTTCAAAGAAAATATCCCATGCTGTGGGTTGGGCAGTCAGTCCCAAGCCTGAAACGCTAGGGACAGTGAGGAGCCCACGTGTGCAAACACCCCAACATAAACGGACAGCAACGCATAACACGAACATCGCAGCGGGATGAAGAAGGGCCCTCTTCCCGCCTTGTACACACTGACAATGGGCATTTGGATGGACCAACTGGCAAATCATCCATCGTAGGCCAGTGGGGAACTAAGCCGGCCTTAACAGCTTAGGGACTAATGCACCGCATCCAAGTAAACAGCAGCTAATGTGTATGGAGAGCCTCTTCCAAACAGAGTAAGGAGACACCTTCTTTCCAACACAAACGGCCCCGGCCGTCTGTCACGCCCCACTCCGTCTGCTACAGCTGTTCCTGAGGATCAGCCTTAAACCCTGCCAGATGCACACATGACCACATAGCCCCAACACGGCTGTCTGCGCTCACTAAGCACACAGAGTCTCCCCGGCACAGCGGGGATTTTAGCGTGAGCCACGCCATGAGTGGGACGCCCTCCACCCATCCCAGCACACTAGGTCCCGTGCTGGGAGCAGCAACGTCCCCCTCCCTGCAATGACAAGATACTGCTTTGGGATTTGCAGCTCACTCCCTGTTCTGCTGGGAAGGGGTGACCTGGACCATGCTGGGGATTTGCATTCAGCCTCGAAGGCTGTGCAGCTCACAGCTGGGGGAGAAGGATTGGCTGAGTCTGCTCTGTGCACGAGCAGGCTGCTCAGAGTTTCCCGAAGAGGCAGCTCCACGTATGGCAGGCCCAGGGGGTTCCCCTGTGCCATGTGCTCTGTGGGCCTTAGGGCTGGAGAGCTGCTCTTCTTTATTTCCATGAATTCAAACACATCGTCCTCAAAGAGGAAATCTGCTGTGCTCTGGACACACAGATAAAGATGGTGAGGCGTCTGCTTCCCATGAGTGCGTGCGAGAGACAGACAGGAACAGAGAGTTCAGAGAGGCTTCAGTGGGGCACGGCTGGAAGCCCATGAGCTTCAGGGCCGTGAAGGAAAACCATCAGAGTTTGCATGTTATCAGCCACATCGGACCCAGCTTTCCTCGACACCCGAAACTCGTGCGGCCCCAGGGTCGCCGGAAAAATGCTCTGGGAAACAGTGACCATTTCAGCCTCTGAGGAGCTTAGGTTCTGTTGAAATACGTCCCGTTCTGATGGGGATCTGTCCACAAAATCAGCAGGCTGCTTGGAGAAGACAACAACATGGCTTTCTTCCATCTCAGCCTTCTGTGCTCAGGGCAGAAGCAACCATACATCCAAGCAAGACTCGCAGGGCAGCTCTAGGTACAGACGTCCTCCTGCCTTCGATGCGTTGACCACCACCTGTCCAGCAGCAGAGACAGACGGACACACTGCCAACCACCGCAGCTCCCACTCCACAGCGATTGGGCTGTTTGCCATTCGGGTCTGACTTAAAGAAAGCAACCCTCCACCGCCTTGACAGTGTCTTTTGGTGAAGACCATCCACGTCCACGTGACATCGTTCAGCGGTGAGGAAGGGTAAAAGCCACTGCACAGGGAGGAGGTCACGAAGCTCCCAGTCACACAACAGCCTGTGTGCTGCTCCCCTGGGGCCCCACGAGTTCCTGGCCACAGCTACATATTCCTTGGCTCCAGCTCTGACTGCAGAGATGCACGCTCCCTGAGCCAGGGATGCCACGGCTCAGCAGCCATGATCCCGCTCCCTCCCAGAGCCCCAGCTCCAGAAAGAACCCATTGCTTTAGGACAGGGACGTGCCTTCACCCCTAATCCAGGTTGAGCTGCAGGACTGAGCTCTGAGTCAGCTTCTCCCAGAGCCCCACATTTTCTTGGGCCACATGCTAGTTCTGTTCCCCGGATACCAGTGAAACCCCTGGCAGGACATGGCCACACACTGTTCCTCCTGCCCCTTCCCTAGCTCAGCTCTCCCACCTGGGACAAATTCCAGCCTCCAGCCCCCTCCCCAGAGTCAACATAGCCTCCCAGGCCCACGCCCTCTCTGGCTGTTTCCCATTGAATTCGACAATGTTCAAGAAGACATTTCTGCAAAGAAGACATCCAAAGGGCCAACAGACACATGAAAAAAGTGCTCAGCATTGCTCGGCATCCGGGAAATACAAATCAAAAACCTCAATGAGATATCACCTCACACCAGTCAGAATGGCTAAAATTAACAAGTCAGGAAATGACAGATGTTGGTGAGGATGCGGAGAAAGGGGAACCCTCCTACCCTGTTGGTGGGAATGCAAGCTGGTGCAGCCACTCTGGAAAACAGTATGGAAGTTCTTCAAAAAGTTGAAAATAGAGCTACCATTTGACCCAGCAATTGCACTACTGGGTATTTACACCAAAGATACAAATGTAGGTATCCGAAGGGGTGCATGCACCCCAAGGTTTATAGCAGCAATGTCCACAATAGCCAAACTGTGAAAAGAGCCAAGATGCCCATCAACAGATGAATGAATAAAGAAGAGGTGGTATATATACACAATGGAATATTATGCAGCCATCAAAAGGAATGAGATCTTGCCCTTTGCAGTAACGTGGATGGAACTCGAGGGTATTATGCAGGTGAAATAAGTGAATCAGAGAATGATGTGCAAAAGAGATATGCAAAGTCTCAATGTATTGCCCCCAGATACTTACTAATTACAAAGGGAAAGCTAGTGATATTGCAGGGGACAGACCTGGGAAGCCACCTGTCAACCAGGTGAGAGCTGTCAGCATCGCTTCCACAGCACTCTGACCACAAAGGAGCACCTTCAATCTCATCATGGGAAAGCACAAGATAAACCCAAGTGGACGGCCACTCTGCAAAGCACCAGACCAGAACGCTCAGGGGGCACCCCGGTCATGAAAGACAAGGAAGGACAGACTGAGGAGCTGCCCCAGATTCAAGGACACTGAGGAGCCAGGACGGTTAACGCACAGTAGCATCCTGGAAAACGGGCACAACATGCATTAGGTCTGCAGCTCAGTGCGGAGGGCCATGTCGGGCCAGGTCACCATTCACCTCCCGGTTTTTCTCCTGGAGAAGCTAGGCGAAAGCCACACAGGAACTCTCTGTACTGCTTTTGCAACTTTCCTATAAGCCTAAAGTATTTTGTATCTTACAATGAAAGATTTTAAATTATGATATGTTAAAACAAGTAGTTGGAAGAGACACGGGTGCAGAAGTCTAAGAACTAAGTCCAAGATGGTCCAGCCAAGGCTGCTTTTCCAAGAGACCTGAGGTGTGAACACGGACGTGCTGTCCCAGTAGGAAAGTAACAGTTTGCTCCTATCACACTGGTCAGATGTTCACGTCACCTCCATCCGGATTCTGCCTCCCCGTTAGAAGACAAACACAGATATCAGCAATAATCCCCCAAAGTCAGGAGGTATTTGCATCTGGCTGGAGGAGGCGGTCCTGAGGAACGCCAGCCGCCTGCAAGAGTCCCACAAAACAACACAGCCTGCGAGGTGCTTAAACTATCCAGCAAGTTTTACTACTGCCCCCGTGATACCCAAAATCACAAACGCTGGCCGCCCCACGCTTCCAGACAGGTGTGTGAGCGGAGAGGCCGGGAAGCATCCCCTTGGGCATCTTCCCCCTCCCCGGGAACCAAGGTGCCATCCCAACACCCCGCTCAGCTCTTCCCACCTCGGGACATGCCGAGTGACTTCAGACATGCTGGTTCACTAGATTCCAAGGGCACCTCCGTGGGAGAAATTTCCCCCCAGCTGAATTAGAACACATGTTGTGAGACTCGAGGCAGCTGGGGTTTTTTGCTTGAGATTTCCTCAGTGGCGGGGACGCGGCTAAGCCTCCAGGGGTCAGCACCTGAGCAATCTGTGCTCTGGATGACGTATGAATTTCACCGCTGAGCAGGAGGACACAATCCTTTTCTGGAAGAATGGTTTTGCTGAGTGTCACTCTCATTCTGAAGAGGCTTGCAGCCTAGTCCTTGGAGTGGTACTTTCACCTGCTTGGATGGATTCCTCAGCATTTTTACCCAAAGAACAACTGTCCCTGCTTATGCTCGCACTTCTCCAAATCCTCATCACTCTCTGTCAATCCCGTGCCGCCTACTGACTCAAACTATTCAGGTGTCCACCATCAAGTCTGCACCAGTGACGTCCCCGGGCCGCCCTGTGTCTGTCATGAGTCTCCGAGGCAGATTTTATTTCATATTCTCCTCTATTTTTCTGTTTCCACAAGAACTTATTTAATAGTCGAATACTGAAATACACCAAACATTATATCTGCAACTGTATCTGCAAGATACAGTTTAATATTGTTCAACAGTCTAGTAGGATAGAAGTCCAAGTTATATTTTAGTCCTAAAAGTGCTCAAGAAAGACTTGGCTGGTTGTGGAGCATGTTCTGTTTGGAGAAGAAAAAAAACGTACAAACAAGGCCACTTTCAGGTCCATGGAGGTCTCCGATGCTGCCACCTCCTCTACCGGGCTCTCGCGACCTTTCCATCTGATGCCACGTTATCCACGAGTCACACACCTGCTCTGAGCCCTGACTTCTCCCGTCTGTCTGTCTGCCTGTCCGTCATCAAGCCCCCACAAGCCTGACACCCCTGAGCAGGGTACTGGTTAGAATCAGACTAACTACTGTTTAGATCCCTGCCCTTCCACTCACTAGTTGTGGGACTTTGAACTAACCGATCATGTTCCTCCGCCTAAACCTCAGTTTCTACATCAATGTAAGTGGATGTTAGTGCCTAACTCAGGGCTTTTGTGAAATCATGTGTGTAAAGCATTTAATGCAAAGTGGCTGTTACTGTGACATAGATCTCATGTTAGCGCCAGTACTGATCCGTCCACCTCCTCATGTGCATGTGTGCATGCGGGTGTGTGTGGCGCACGTCCACGCAGGTGTGCATTCGTGTAGGGGTGTGTGTTCACATGCGCGTGTGTGTCCACGCGGGTTTGAGTGTGCATCCACGTGGGTGTGAACAGTGTGTGTTCACACCGATGCGTGCGGTGCAGGTTCACGCAGGTGTGCGTTCATGTAGGTGGGTGTGTTCACATGTGTGTGCGTGTCCACACGGGTTTGAGTGTGCATCCACACGGGTGTGAAGTGTGTGTTCACACAGATGTGCGCAGTGCATGTTCACGCAGGTGTGCCTTCACGTGGGTGTGTGCCGTACACGTTCATGCAGGTGTGAGTGTTCTCACGTGGGTGTGTGTGATGTGCATTCACACAGGTGTGCATGTGCATTCACACTGGTGTGTGTCCATGCATGTGTGTGCAGTGCACGTCTGATCTCTGCACCCCAGCACCTGGTGCAGAGCCTGCCACTCGCGGGGAGAAGGGTGGAGGAAGGAGCATCCTCTCCCAGGGATGGGCAGGTTTACAAGGGAATAGAGGACACACCTCACAAGCGCACAGGACCTATTGCAGGAGAGCATGCCATACGGAACAAAATAGCAAAGGAAAGGAAGTCATGAATTCTCCTTTCCAGGAAGGCTTGATTCAGCTAGAGACACAGATTTACCCATTTGTCTAAGAAAATATATCCTTACAAAAAATTATATCACAAAAATACACCAGAGTTTCCATCTTTAAGGCTCCTGTTATCAGGGCCCTTTACAACAAGACTCTGCCTCTAATGCACAGACCCTTCCCACAGGATCTGCAATGACCCCTCCTCATACTGGATTCCACACTGTTAAAAACACAGAGCCAGAAGATGCCCCACACAGATGCACTGAGACTCCAAAATATCTTATTTTGGGTTTCTAAGTAAAACATTGGAAACAAAAGCATAGCCCATCAGGATTTAAATGGGAAAAACCCCAAGAATATTTATCCTTTTAGCACTTCACACTTTACTCACAAATAGATGCACCTGGACAAATAATGCTTTTAAAAGTGAAATAGCCATAACCACAGAATTTGCCTTCTGAAGTGTTAGAGAAATATAATATCCAAAAGCATGATGTGGACACTATGGTCTATGATTCACTGAGGAGCTTAAGATGTTGGTATCCTCACATCACTGGAAATATGGGCTAAGAATGTTGCCTGTGTCCTTGGGTCCGAGTAGAGATGAAGCTCCCTCTTCTGCGGCTCTAGGGGGTCCTGGACCATGGTCCTGTTTGCTCAGAGCCCTGCAGCTCTGAGCAGCTGCTTTAGGGATACTCTTGGTGAGACACAGAAAACCTGCTGTTTATACAGGGCCTTGTCTTTCCCTTTCTTCTTTTAACTCTGGGCTTATTTTGGCCCTTTTCTTCTTGATCAAGCTAGTGAGACTCTGACAGACTGGAAATTGGGAGTGTGGCCTCTACATATTATTTTTCCTTTAGCTGCCTGCTACACTGCTGATAAAATGGGTGTCACCCCATTTGGTAAAGCCTAGATGTTGCAGAAATGTGTCTCTGGCACCTTCAGGAATTTCTTTCTCTCTCCTCTCCTGGAGGTCCTGCCTATTGCCATGATGTCCCCTGCCTGGGCCAAGGCTGTCGAGAAGATGGGCAGCGCCATGACACGAGCCAGGAGCGTGGCGACCAGCTGTATGTGTTGGGCACTGCTCCATCTGTGGCCACCGTCAATCACACTTATACTTACTTGTGATACCAGTTCACTTTCATTTCCTCGGTAAAATATTTCATGAAACACTGAAGTCTTATTCCTTCTTCGGTGCAGAGTACCTTTAGTGGAGAAGCAGATGCCCCTGCAGAAAACAAAACAGACTCAGACCAAGAAAAGCAGTACGTGTGCCATCAGAACATAGAGGTGCAGCTGCAGGCGTCTCTGCTCTGTCCCACGGTAAACACAGCCTCACATGTGTATGTTCCATCCATGCATTCTTCTAACCTTCCCCACGCCATATTCGTTCACTCCATTAGCATCTGCCAATGCCACATGTATCTGAAAATCTCTTCGCTGAGTACTGTAAAGGACACGTAACTTTAGGAAAAGGCTCAACATCTGCCCCTTGGCAGCTAAGTTTAAGAAGAGGAGGAAAATTCTTGCAAACAGCACAGTAACACAGTAAACTCTGCATTAGTTGATCTGGAACTGAAGTATTGTGGGAGATCAGCAAATGGGAGATGATGAGTCAGCAGAAATGATACAGGAAGGAGTCAAGGAGATGAAAGGCTACGGTCCGTCCTCTGAGATGAGCGAAGACTGGGTAAGAAAACAGGAGAAGCCACAGGCAGCAAGAAAACCCTAGGAAATGAGAACTTATTTCATGTGTCTGGAGTAGGAACTCAGCCTGACTGGATTGGGGCGGGTGGTCCGTGGGAGGGGAGGGGTCAGAAGATGGGAAGCTACTGAGCAGCCTCTTATTTCGGCAAAAGCTCTGAGCTCGAGGCAGAGATTGTTATTAGATATGTAACTTCAGAGCTTTACATGAACTCAGGGTATTCCAGCACCTAGAAGACACTATTTATAGAATCAGCAAAATGAAAGAAAATGATGTGATTAAAACCACTGAGGAGCGTGCGATGCAGAAGGGACTTCTGAACGCACCATCTGCTATGAGGTGAGCCGCCCGGAGACTTCTATTACGAATCCTCAAGATACCCACATATTCCACACGGTCCTCGTACTTCTGGGAGCTCACTCAGAGGAAATATTCCCAAATACTGAAATCAGCCTCTCTTTGTCCAATGATGTACATTGCATAGTTATTTAAAATAATGAACAACGGTTGCTATCCCCATAAGGAAGACTTTAAACCACAGCACGTAATTATGAAATACCAAGTAATTATGAGAAATTGTGGACACAGTATTGATATAAAAGGTGGATGATTATCATAAGATATGTGGCCAAAAAAAAAAAAAAGAAACAAGGTGTATTTATGACTTTACGTAAAGAAATAGAAACCAAAATAAAAATGGCCATGACTGTGGTGTTCTTTGGTTTCCATTTACTCTCACATGAGCACACGTAATGGAATACCATCCAACAAAAACACAGAGTGAAAACCACTTGCCCTGACGGAGTGATTGGAAGAACCCCCGAGATGGTGTCTGTGAGCCTGCTCCTGGCAGTGTCCCCACGTCGCCTCCATGACCTCGGCTCCTGCTGAAACTCACCCCTCCCCACAGAGACGTGAAGCAAGCGCACACCCGAACGCAAAGATGAGAGCCATGTCAGACTTTTTTGAAGGCAGAGAGCAGGGGTGAGGGCAGGGGGCTGTGCGAGCAGAGAGGGCTGAATCGATGACCAGGCAGAGTGCAAGTCCCCAACTTGGGGCCCCACGGAGGGTGGGGGATGGGGAGCGGCCAACAGGGAGGTCACTGGAACACCCACACGGGGAACAGAGACACCCCATCACCTCCACCTCTCTGCATCAGTGCGCCCCTGCCCCCGTACCTGAGACCTCACCCTTCAGAGAGTGTGAAGGGCAGCAGCTCAGTGGTGGGGGGCAGGAGCTCAGCTGGGGAGAGCCAATGCAGTTGGGTGGGCGTGTGTGTGCTATGCGGCAGGCTCCCCCCCACCTGCTCTGCTCAACTCCTACACGGCTGGCCCGGCCAGCCCCAGCAGGAAGCATACTGCTGGACAGAAGCAGCTGCCCCACCAAGCTGATGGGCGCCTCCCCCGCGTCCTCCCAACACGGCTCCCGCAGCTCCACCAGCCTCTCGCATTGCTCGAACCTTAAATAGCCAGAGTGAGCGAACTCTGTGAAGGGTCACTCACACAGACAAGATGGAAGACCAGGAAGGAAAACCTGGAGGAGGAGGGGGACCAGAGAGGACCCCGCTTCTCTTGAACCCAGGGCTACACTTGATGCTGCTACGTACAGCCGCAGACCGTGACCACAGATGCCTCTCTGGGCACCACGGGACCGCCGTCAGTAAGGCGGAGGCCCACTCAGGCACCCTTGCACACCAGGCAGGACTTCTGTAAACCCGCATTTATAGAACATCCAGCACAGCCCTGAGACCGTGTTCTGCATCTTCGCTCCAGCCATTTCAGGAGATGCTGTAAGTGCAATTATGTCCATTATCACTTACACCAAAATGAGGCTGTGTTAATTCTATGAAGTCACTGATTAGACGGCAAGGGCTCATTTGAAACCTACACAGAATACATTGCAATATTTGAGGCTTAAAAGTGTGACCTGCTGGACTCTATCTGCTACACTGAGGTGTGAACTGTGAGGTGAGGACCACCCCCTGACACACCCAGGGCGCTGTGGGCATCGATCGGCAAGCCTTCTGGGAAGTGGACAGTGTGTCTCCCCCACAGAAAGGAGACACAAGGCAGCACACGGGTGGATGACTGCAGGAGTGTGTGGGAGTCAGGGAGTGTGTGAGTCTCTGTGCATGAGTCTGTGAGTGTGAGTCTGTGTGTGCATATGAGTGTGTGAGGGTGTATCTGCCTGAGTCTGTGCATGTGTGAGTCTGTATGTGAATCAATGAGTCTCTGTGTGAGTCTGAGTGAATCTGTGAGTCTGTGTGTGTGTGTGAGTCTGTGTGTGACTCTGAGTCTGTGTGTGTGATTGTGTGTCAGTGTGAGTCTGTGAGAGTCTATAGTGAGTCTAAGTGAATCTGTGTGTGAGTCTGTGTATGAGTTGAGTCTGTATGAGACTTGTGT